AACCAGAGTGAAGGGAGTAAAAATAGTACATCCCCATGGAAGGAATTTTAGCAATACTTAGCAAAATTATGTCTCTGTATATATTTACCTCTTAAGCCATCAATCCTACTTGTTAGGAATCAATGCCAAAGATACAGTTGCAAAATAAAAAATAACTTATGTACAAGACCATTTGTTAACCACATTGTAATAAAATAAAATGCAAAATAAAACTGGAAAGAACTCAGAGGGTGGACTGAATAAACTATAGTATAAAATCGGTACTTGGTATAAAAAAGAAAGAGGGAGACCTTTGGGTTATGGCAGCCATAGCTGAATGCTGCTTGGAACTTCCTTCCAAAAAGCACTTGCTTGCTGGTTGCCAGTGACTCATGCCTGTAATTCTAGCTATGTGGGAGGCTGAGAGCAGGAGGATTGCCATTTGAGGCCAGCCCCATTTCCAAAATAACAGAGCAAATGGACAGGAGGTGTGGCTCAAGTGATAGGGTGCCTGCTTTGCAAGCTGCAGCCCTGAGGTCAAACCCCAGTCCCACCAAAACCAAACCAAACAAAAAAAACTTGTTTAGCAACAAGAATGCACCTTTACAGGTGCCTTTTGTTTTGTTTTGTATTTATGTAGGTTTGAATTACCATGCCCCCCTTCCTTTTGTATTTCAGGTCTGCTAACAAATTGTCTGGATTTTTGTTTAGCAGGGAAAGTCTTCTTTTTTTTTTTTTTTGGCCTTTATTTTTGAAAGATAGCTCTGCTGGATATAGGATTCTTAGCTGACAAGCTTATTTGTTTTCTGACAAGCCCTTTAAATGTGTCATCCATTGCTTCCTGGTTTCCAGTGTTTCACTGAAAACTCATCTGTTTATCTTACCACTCCCTTGTAAGTGGTTTTCCACTTGGGCTTTTGAGCTTTTCTCCCTGTCTTTGGCGTTCAGCATTTTTGCTGTGGTGTGCCTGTGAATCTCTTTCTGTTTATCCTGTTTGGAATATATTGAACTTTTGCATGTGGAAATCATTGTTTTTTAACAATTTGGGGACTGTTTTAGCCACAATTTCTTTTTTTTTTTTTTTTTGGTGGGGTCAATACTGGGGTTTGAATTCAGGGCCTTGAGCTACTAGGCAAATGCTCTACCACTTGAACCAAACCCCCAGCCCTTTATGCTTTATTTTTTCATTGATAGGGCCTCATGTTTTTTGTCCAGTCAGCCTCAGATCAAGATTCTCCTACTATGCTTCCTGTATAGCTGGGATTACAGGTCTGAACTCGCACTACCTGGTTTGTTTGTTGAAGTGGAGTCTTGCTAATTTTTGCCCAAGCCGGCCTCAAACCATCATCCTCCAGATCAATACCTCTTGCATAGCTAAGATACAGGCATGAACTGAGTCTCCCTCCATAATTTCCTTTAGATATCTCGTTTCTTTCCCCCTTCTCCAATATGCCTCATACTCCACTGTCAGTGTGCTGAACAGTACCCCACATTTCTCCAAGATTCCATTCACTTTTCTCCATGAAAAACCAAGCTCAAGTTCAATCTCTTCCTCATTGACTTCTTGTCTGGTCATTAACTATCCCTTTTTCCATATATGTATATATATAATTTCTTTTCAGTGTTGAATATTGGACCCAGGGCCTCTCACTTGCTAGGCAAGTGCTCTACCACTGAGCTACAACCCTATTAACAGCACTGGTGCAGTCTGTGATCAGAAGACTTCCAATTTCTTTGTCCCACGTGGAAGAATCCATGGCATGAAAGGTGGGTATAAGTAGAGTTTATTGAAAGTTAGGGAAGGGAAAGATAAAGGGAAGCATGAGGGGACCCAGGTGGAATCTGGTGGCCAAGAGAGTGTGTTTCTGCTCTTCAGGTGCTTTTAAAACCTATGATAACCTATGGGAAGAGGAGAACAAGGTAATTCTCATCCAATAATCAATGAGTGGGTAGGGGCATGGGTGGTTCCTGAACCAAATTTTGGTTAATCTAAGATGTAATCTTTTTCTGTGAGTCCCGAACTTTCCCTAGTTTTAGGTACCTCAACCCCATGTCATGGGTTTTGGAGCTGCAGGTTGATAAAAGAATTTGCTGAGATAAGAGAGTAGGAGAAAGTAAAGATTTATTAGGACACCCTTTAAAAGTAAAAAAAAAAAAAAAAAATGGTGGATAGCTAGACAAAGGAGCATAACACTACTGCTCCTATGCTGAACCTATGTGGAGTTAGAGACAGGGTTCTATAGCATTTATTTGGGATTTCACTTATTGGTTGTTGTTTTCTACTGGACCTTGCGGATTTGTTGCTTCTTTCTAGGCTCATGGTTTGAATTTCATTTTGTTCCTTCCATGCCTCCATAAGCTAGAGGCTTTCCTTCACACTCCAGCCCACTCCTATATTCATTTTTCTTTTTGAGACAGGGTTCCACTATATAGACCAGACTGGCTTCAAACTTAAGATCCTTCTGCTCCAGTCTCCTAAGTGCTGAAATTACACACATGCACAGCTACTTCTGGCTTCCACTCCTTTTGCATTCTTATTTGTTCCTCATATTTGTTAGTTGATTGTTTTCTAACACATCTTTTTCAAGCCTGAGTGTAGGGGCTGTGACATTTAAAAATCCCTCAGCACCAAAAAATGATACTATCTGCAAAGTTGGAGCTCAATTAATACTTGAATAAAACAAGGCTTTGTTGATCCCAAAAAGTAGACGAATTACATTTTGTTGTTGTTTGAATTAAGTTGAGGTGAAGGAATGGGAGTTCTATCTTCTGGTCTTTTCAGTAAGCTCCACAGGCTATTTGGGAAAAAAGCCCAAAAATCTCACTCTTAAACAGGGCATGGTGAAGCACATCTGTAGTCCCAGAACTCAGGAGGCAGAGGCAGGAGGCTAATGAGTTTAAGGCCATACTGGGCAACATAGAGACACATGCCAAAACAGAACAAAAGAAAACAACTGCACTGATACGTAGGTCTTTTCCCCATGATATGTAGTCACACTTTTCACTCCATGGTCTGTAACCTAAGACAGGCTCTGGGCCACAGCCAACCGCAGATCTGAAGCAAAATGCCTGGTGTGTCCTTGGAATAGGAAAGTGAAACCTGGGCAGCAGTTCATGAAGCTACATGGCCATGCTGGTCATGAACTCTGCGTCAAAGTCCCCTGCGTTTTCCTCCCAGGGCACAAGCTAAACGTTCAGGTTTAGAGTGGAAAGATTCATCCCAGCCGAAGACTAGAAATTACACGAACGCGTGCATGAGTAAAACATCACGAGAAACACTCCCGCCTGAAAACATGACACTGAAGGCACAAGAAACACTTCTGGTGCAGCCACTCTGGCCGTCACGGGTCACCCGGGTTTTGCAGCAACCTGGGAAGGACGCGCACCTGCAGGTCTCAGCCGGGCTTCCTCCCGGGGAGGTCCGAGCGGAGCCGGGTGGGCACCACCGAGTGCGGACCTCCCGCGCGTCCTAGAGCGGCCGCGCCGGCCCCACAGGCGGCGCACTTCCGGCCGCGCGCGTCGCCGCCCCGCGGAGTGCTGGGCCTCGGAGCTGACCTGTGCCTCCCTCGGCTCCTGCCCGGGCCTCGGGGAGAGGGTGAGTGGGGCAGGGCGCCGGAGGGGGGCGGGCGCGCTTCCTCGGGACTCGTGGGCTCGGCGGGGTCCGCCGCCCCGGGCCCGAAGTCTGGGTCGCCCAGCTCTGCTGCTGCCCACTCCGTCGTTTGCAAATCCGATGCGGTCGCCTAGGGAAGCCCAGGGCCGCTGGTGGCCTAAGTTTAGCCACTCACTTTCCCCTCCAGGCCCCGGGCCTTTCGACTCTAAAATGGAAGGCGGGCAGTATCTCTGCCCTATCCGCACCACTGGATGATTGCAGGGCCGACGCCATGGGTTCGAGACCCGGCAGCCTTCCAAATGCTGAAGCTCGTGGTCACCAGATTATTGTGATCTGCAGCTGGGACCGAGAATCGTGGGCTCCCCCAAAATGACTGTACTGTGATCACCATCCAATGTGCACTTCTTCGACCGTGCGTGGCTTCAAAAACCAAACAAGTAGCCGGCATCTTTTTTGGTTTTGGTTTTGGTTTTGGTTTTTTGTCAACAAGAAAGGGACCTACTCTCGCCTTCCCTCCCCTCTCCCCCTTTTTTCTTTTCTTTTCTTTTTTTTTTTTTTTTTTT